AAAGTGGCGTGTTGCCCCCCTGACTGGTAGGGCTCAACCACCAGGATTCCATTGGCCAGCTTACGGGTCGCCGGGCACGGCACAAACACCCGGGAGGCTAAGAGGAAGCCCCACGCGCCGCCTCAACGCATGGGGGAAGGAAAGGACAAGGAAAGTCGGGAGGGCAGCGGACAGCTGCACAGGATATAATGAAAGGAGAAGGATGGGAGAAAGGGGAAGGAAAAGCCCAGGTTTGGCAGAATGAATAAGACTACCAAACCCCGAACTCCCTGCCTGGGGCCGGGGGGGCGACGCTCCCCATGTAGCCCGGAAAACCGGATCAAAGATCCAGCTTCAAAAGAGATACCCCCGGCGGAGGTATTATTATATTAATTATATAGGATATATTATTATTATTATTATTAAGTATTAGTTTTTATGATATTATATTATTATTATTATATATATTATTATGATATTATGATTAAGTATTATTATTATATATTATTATATTATGATTATTATTATTATTATGATATTATTATTTATTATATATATTATTATTAGTATTATTATTATATTATTATTATTATATTATATGATTATTATATTATTATTATTATTTTATTTTATTATTTTATTATTATATTAATTATTATTTTTTATTATTATTATTATTATTTTATTATTTTTTATTATTATTATTATTCTTATTTTATTATTATTATTTATATATATTATTATTATTTTTTATTATATTATTATTATTATTATTATTATTATTATTATTCTTATTATATTATTATTATTATTATTATTATTATTATTATTATTTTTATTTTTTTTTTTTTTTTTTTAAGCCCACAGCGGCATCGACTGCTAAGGCCATTAGCCGCTTTCCTCCTGCCCATATGGTCAATTGCCACATTCACCACAGGGGTAAATCTGGGTGATTCGGATGTTATGTGATGTAGCTCAGATTTTTTGAATACATAAAAAAAGAAGAACAAACATATAAATTAACTTATTACAGACAAACACAGAAAAAAAAATGTAAATAAGAATACCCACATACGCGTGGGTACCCTGTATTTACTTACTTATCCGACACCAGTGCTTCCTTATCTATCATAGACCTACAGCTATCTAATATATTTCTACATAGTAGTATCTTATTTAATAACGTTATACTTTACGGAAAAGCTTGGTAGATTTAAGGAAATTCAATGTATCTCCTACGTTGGCATTAGAGGATAAACAACCTTTTAAATCACCAGCTATGTTGTGTGCTCTTCTAGCAGCTATGTATGATGGGCACTCGATCAGTATATGCTTCCAAGTAAGCAATTCATTACACGTCTCACACCTTGGTGGTGGATTACCTAAAAGTATGTGGGAATGTGTAAGAATTGTGTGACCTATTCTCATTCGCGTAATTACGACCTGCTCTCTACGAGTCAGATGGGGAAGATTCCATTTTGTTACGTTCGGCTTGATCGTCTTCAAAAAATGGTTTGTTGAGTTCCATTCTTGCTGCCATTCATTAAGTAGCTGCAACCTCATGAATTTTTTCACGTCTTCAGGCACGACTGGTATGTTGAGGTATTCTTCCATTGTGGCTTCCTTGGCAGCTGTATCTGCTATTTCATTTCCATGGATTCCTACGTGTGCTGGCGTCCACACATATATGACCTGTGATTTCTTCTGTTGGAGCTGGTAGGTGGTCAAGAGAATCTCTTGAACTAAGGGGTTTTTACTGAATTTGTCAGAAATAGTTTGCAGTGAGCTCAAAGAGTCACTGCAGATTATGTATAAGCCCTGTTCCTCATCATCAATCAATTTTAGGGATTGAAGTATTGCGTATAATTCCGCTGAGAAAATTGAGGCCATTGGACTTAGGCGCCATTTGCGGGTTATCTCCGTAGTTGTTAATGCACATCCTATGCCCCCTTCGGTTTTAGACCCATCCGCATAAATTATTCTCCTTACGTTTTGGTATTTACCAATTATATCAAGAAATGTCTGTTTATAAAATGTAGGATTGGTGTGGCCTTTTTTGTATTTGGCGCATTCGAAGTTAACTTCTGGGAGTGACAGCCTCCATACAGGGCAATCTATGTATTTAAGACTATAGGTTGGGGGCATCTGAGTTTCTAAATCCTCGAGTAGCTTATGGATGCGGGCACCTGCGGGCTTTGTGATGGATGGTCTAGACCGATAAATTGAAATTTCTTCTTCCTCAAATAATATATTGTGGTTAGGGTGCTGGGGTTGTGCCCATATTTTTACGCTATAGTTCAGTAGCAGCTGCTGTATTCTGTAGCTTAAGGGAGGTATGCCTGATTCACAAAAAACGGACGCATTCGGTGATGTCCGGAAGGCACCAATGCATAACCGTATACCCTCCTTGTGTATTCTCTCTAATCTACTTAGATGGGATTGTCTTGCTGCTGAGTATACTATTGCTCCATACTCAAACTTGGACATGACTATTGATTTATATAATGAGAGCAACACATCCCTGTCTGCTCCCCAACTGATGCTTGAGAGACATTTAATAATATTTAAGGCCTTTTTACTTTTGATTACGAGTTCCTCTATATGATTCTTCCAGTATAATTTATCATCCAAGGTAATGCCTAATATGTTTATATGGTGTCTGTTAGCTATTGGTGTGCCTTTCAAAGTCAGAGCTGGTGGGTCATGATGTCTCCTTAGCCTGCAAAAATGTATGCATGCTGATTTCTGTGGAGAGAAGGAGAAACCCATTTTTTCGGCCTCGTAAGCTAATGTATTTATGGATGTCTGCAAAGTACCTACTATATCTTCCATTTTGTCTGCAGTAAAAATATTGTTAAGTCGTCAACGTATATACATTTCCCGACTTCTATTGGCACTTTTTCGATTAGCTTATTTATAGCCACAAGAAAAAGGGTCACGCTTAGAGTTGAACCTTGGGGAATACCGTTCTCTTGTCTGTATGATGCTGAAAGTTCTTTTCCAATACGTACTTTAAAATACCTGTGTTCTAGGAAGCCTGCAATGAAACGTAGTATGTATCCTCTTATTCCCCATTCATGCAGTGTTTTCAGTACGCCAAACCGCCATGTAGTGTCATATGCTTTTTCAATGTCAAATGATACTGCTACTGTATGTTGCCTTTTAGCAAAGCTTTTTTGAATGGCTGCTTCCAGATAGACTAGCTGATCTGTTGTTGATCTATACCTACGAAAACCCATTTGATATTTTGACAATAATCCATGTTTCTCTAGGTACCATATAAGCCTTAAGTTTAACATTTTTTCTAGTATTTTACTTGGGCAGCATGTTAGAGATATGGGGCGGTAGTTATTGGGATCCTTACTGTCTTTACCAGCTTTCGGGATAGGAATGATGATTGCGTTTTGCCACTGTTTTGGGTAAGTACCTTCTATCAATATTTTGTTATATAGTTCTAGTAGTTTTTGTTTTTCACTTACAGGTAAGTGTTGTATCATTTCATAGTGTATAGTATCTGGACCAGGTGAAGAGCTTTTGACCTCAGCGAGTGCGTACTCCAGTTCATCCAAAGTTACAGGAAGGTTATATTCAGATATATTTTCCTCGTCGAAGTCAATTCCCACTTCTTCTGCTTCATTTTTTTGTTGGATGAAGTTGTCAGCATATCTTTCAGTCCCACTATTTATTTGAAATCGTTGTGCCAAAGTATTCAAGATTTCGTTCTTTTCGGATATTTCTTGGTTATTAACGATGAGAATAGAACTTGGTAGAGTTAATGATCTTCCACTTATAGCTCTTATCTTTGACCAAATTTCTGAAGTCGGGGTCTCAGAGGTTATTGAGGAAACATAATTTTTCCACGATGCTTTTTTGCTGTTGAGTAAAATTTTCCTCGCATTAGCTCTACATTTTTTGAAGCGTATAAGATTTTCTTGTGTAGGGTATCTTTTAAATATGTTAAGTGCATGGTGTTTTTCTTTCAATGCTCTTTCTAATCTATCATTCCACCAAGACACTCTGGGCTTTATATTAATGGGAGAGGTATAACCTGAAACAGGGATACTCACTTTAGCAGCGTCCAAGATATTTTCGGTGAGCTGTTGCACAGATTCTTCGACAGATTCTTTAAACTCAAGGGCTTTGATGTTTTCTTGGAACTTACTCCAATTTGCCTTTTTAATTTGCCATTTTGGGGAGGAATAGAAGTTTGAACATCGGGTCGCACATTTTATTCTAATAGGCAGATGATCTGAGAATTGATCGTCCATTGTTTCCCAAGTAAACAGATGTGCAATTTCAGGACTGCAAACTGTTAGATCTATAGCGCTAAGTTTAAGAGAGCGGATATTAGGAAGGTACCTGATCCTGAGTTCAAAACCACCAGGTTATATTCGTTGATGATATCTTCTATAAGGCGGCCTCGCATATCAAGTTTCTCTGATCCCCATAATGGGTTATGGGCGTTGAAGTCGCCCAGTATGACACAAGGTGTAGGCAACTGAAAAAAAGTTGCCGCATTTGTCTTGATTCCCAGCTGAAGTCTGGGAGATAGATGTTGCATATAGTTAGTTTAACTGGCTGGAAGATTTGTACTACGATTGCTTGCAATTGTGAGTCAACCATGATTTCATTAGATGGGATATCTTCTTTTATAAGGGTCGCTACGCCGCCTTTGGCACGAATATTCCTAATGCCATTTTTCCTGTAACATGTATATCCACGTAGGTTTATGCTGTCTGATCTGCTAGATGCGTTTCTTGAAGGCATGCACAAATTGGTGCCTCATTTAACAGAAGTGATTTCAATTCTGGGTGGTGCGTTTTATATCCATTAATATTCCATTGCACTATAGAACACATTGTGTGAAAAATAAGTGTAACTATAAGTAAAAGGTGTATATATATATATATATGAGTATAAAAAGATATAAATATAACTATGTATAAAAAATATGGATAAAAAATGCATTTTGCAAAGTAATATCACAGAAGTCATCGTTACGTAATGCTAGTTGAGATCAATTACATCGGAACTAATCGTCTTATCATCTGGAGGCTTTCTGGGTTTTCCCTTCGGCCATCCCTTTTTTTTCTTAGCAAGTGAGGATGTTCCGCTGGCTTGTGACGAAAGCTTTCGTCAGTATCGTCTGCGGGATCATCCGCATTATCCTTTTGGATAACAGTACGTTTCCTCTTTTCTGAAAGAGATGGTTGAGTAGACGTATCCGATAGGTATTGGTTAGGAGGAGGTAGATTTAAAGGTGTCAATGTCCGTACTGGTCTATTTACAAATTTATCAAAGGTTTGTTTAATCTGTGTTTCTATCGTTTTTGAAAGCAGAGGAAGGAGTTCTTCAACAAGTTTATTAACTGTAGCACTTGGGGTAGCGGTAACTTGAGCGTATGACACCCGGGGAGATGAGCTAATTACTTTCCTTTTTGCCTCCAGATAACTAATTTTTTCTAGCGTCCTCACTCTTTGGATGGCAACTTCTTCCTTCATCCGCGGACATTCTCTAGAATCAGCAGCATGCTGTCCTTCACAGTTGATACATTTCTTATGTTCATTGCACGGCTCTCCTGGGTGATTGGGTTGACCACAAGTACACATTTCGGTATTAGGACATTTCTGGGATGTATGACCAAATTTCTGGCATTTGAAACACCGCAAAGGGCTTGGGTAGTAAGGGCGAACATCAAGGCAGCTTTAATTTTATTAGGTAGATTGGGTCTATCAAAAGTGAGAATGAGATTTGGTGTTTCTATAAGTTCCTCACCTCTTCTACGCATCATACGTTTTACGTCAATAACTCCTTCTGTTTTCAGGCCGTCCAATATTTCCTCCAAAGTGGAGTTCAAAAGATCAGCACAAGTAATAATTCCTTTGGAGTAATTAAGCGTGGAATGCGCTTTAACTACAACATTAATCTCCAACTCTTTGTGTTTGCAAAAGTCTGTTTGCCTGGGTTGCGGTACTGGTTTCCAACAGTAGCCCAGATTTGATTTTCTTTATTAATTTCAGGTTCCCAGCAATTCCAAATAATGTTCTTGACACAACAAAGGGGCTTACTTTATCAAAGTTACCCCCATCAATCCGTTCGACCACCAGAAACCGGGGGATGGTTCCCTCCTTTCTCTGGCTGGCCGTGGCCGCTTGCGCGGTAGCTTTCCCATTTCTGGGTGGGTTTTTGGTTTGTATTTCATCCATGCGAATTTCAAAATGCTTCACCTTCCCAGCTCCCCACCCGCCACGGAGTCCTCATTGGGGATGCCATGCCTGCAAACATAGTTCGGGACATGGACACCAGGGCTGCTGAAGAAGGAAAGTATAGTCTTCGCATTGCGGTCCGGCATGGCCAAGGGTAGAAATAATCCACACCTGTCTGCTTTCTTCGCAATGCGAAGGCTCGCCCAGCCAGCCCTCTGACGGGATGGCACAGCCGATTGACCGACGCTGGGCTAGGCGCGGCCGCCCTTCTAGACTGACCGCCGGACCAAAGTGGCGTGTTGCCCCCCTGACTGGTAGGGCTCAACCACCAGGATTCCATTGGCCAGCTTACGGGTCGCCGGGCACGGCACAAACACCCGGGAGGCTAAGAGGAAGCCCCACGCGCCGCCTCAACGCATGGAGTAAGGAAAGGACAAGGAAAGTCGTGAGGGCAGCGGACAGCTGCACAGGATATAATAAAAGGAGAAGGATGGGAGAAAGGGGGAAGGAAAAGCCCAGGGTTTGGCAGAATGAATAAGACTACCAAACCCCGAACTCCCTGCCTGGGGCCGTGGGGGCGACGCTCCCCATGTATCTTCCCTTGAAACCGGATCAAAGATCCAGCTTCAAAAGTAGATACCCCCTGCTATATTATTATTATTATTATATTTTATTATTATTATGATTATTATTATTATTATTATATTTTATTATATATTATTATTATTATT